TAAAGGAACTTCTAAATAACGGACCAGCAAAGATCCTAAGGGAAAATTAAACAATTGCAAAATTTGATGTTTAGAGATGTTATCTGTTCTAGCAATAAATATTTGGCTCTTGGAGGCACTGGCAGCTAACCTAGAAAGCAATAAAAAATCGCATAGAGATTGATAGGGAACCCGAGCACACTCTTCATCCCCAAAACAGACCATAAGAAGATCATCCCCGCAAAGAAAAAGTGAGTTAACCCAATTCTCTCACACCACCAATGAAACCGAGAGAGAGGAGAGGATCTTATTTTAACATTAATAATATAGGACAACATCTCCATAGCAATGAAAAATAAGTAGGAAGACAAGGGATCCCCTTGCCTAAGGCCACGCCTACTCCCAAATAACTTGCAAGCCCACCATTTACAGCAATCGAGAACATAGGAGACAAGATGCAACTCTTTATCCAATTAATCATTCTAGGTGGGATAGCAAATGCATCAAGAGTAGCAAGTATAAAACCCCACTCCACGATATCATAATCTTTCATAATGTCAACCTTCAGAGCGCACCTAGGAGATCCCTTGACTTTGTGGTAGTCACGAAGGATTTCTTGAGCGAAAAGGATATTATCCCCAATTTTCCTTCCTAGATTAAAAGCCGATTGAGTAGGACTTACCATATGAGATAAATTTCCTTGCGCCGATTAGCCAACAACTTAGCTATAGTTTTATAAAGCGTGTTACAACAGGAGATAGATCTAAAATCACTAACAACAGAGACCTTAGGGACAAAGGTGATGATTGTAGAAGTTAACTTCTTAAGAAGATGACCCAAGTGAAAAAATTCTTGAACAGCAACGATGACATCATTTCCAATATTAGACCACGCTCTTTGAAAAAAAAACAACCATTAAAACCATTTGGTCCAGGAGACTTATTAGGAAGCATAGAGAAGCAAACAGACTTAAGGTTATCCGAAGTGAAATCAACACAAAGAGAATCAGTAAAAACATGGTCCAAAGTGTTGGAGACTAGCCTGCTCAAACCATCAAGCCTAGAAGAGTCCTCACCAACATAACAACCAATGAGTGATTGAAAAAAATTGACAGTTTCCCACTTGACTTCCTCCTCCGAATTGACAATAGACCCATCAACTATAATAATAGAAACCAAATGATTCCTACTTCTGTTCTTTGATATAGACTTGAAGAAAAAAGAAGAATTTCTATCCCCTGCATTTAGCCATTGAACTCCAGATTTTTGCCTCAAGAACATTTCCCCCATAGTCAAAGCCAAAGCATAAGCATCATAAAGGATTTTCTCTTATGCTCACAAGGAGTTGTCAAAAAGGTTAGAGTCAAGAAGCCTTTGGCACATTTCTAAATCAGCCTTGGGCTTAACAACAACATTAGAGACATTACCAACAAGGTCTATGTTGAGGCGCTTGAGCTGTTGCTTAATAAGTTTGAGTTTTTTGCAAACCTGAAATTATTTAGAGCCCTACACTATAGTAGACCAGACACTAGAAATTGTGGGAATAAATCATCCCTGTCAACCATGAAATTAAAGAATTTAAAAGGAGATTTTCGGTTTCAGAAAGGGAGCCCCAACTTACTACCATGGGAGAATGATCAGAGATGCTAGCGGGAAAAATTCAACAAAGCAATTTAGCAGAGTTTTAGTTCACCTTTCATGCACCAGAACAGGATCCAATTTTCTAGAAATACACTCTGAATCATCCTACTTGTTGCTCTAAGAGTAGAAAATTCCAGTGGCATTGAGATTGTCAAGTTCAGTCTTGAAAGGGCAAGAAGCAAAATCTTTCATTGCACTAGTGAAGTGTTGAGAACCACCAGCAGTCTCATTACACCTTCTAGTGATAGTAAAGTCCCCTAAAACAATCCAAGGGGAGCTAGATTAAACACTAGCAAAGGAAACTAAATTAGACCAAAGATTCCTATTGACAACCGCGTCATTAGAGGCATAGATGAAGGAGGCAAAAAGAACTAGTCCAGATTCTAGAAGCTTGATGTTACAATGTATTACTTGATCAAAAGCTTCCAACTTGAACACTAAAAGCTTGGAAGGGTTCCAACAGATGGTTGAAGATGTTGTTTTCTCAGAGTATAAAGGTAGGGAGCTTTGTTGAGAAAAGACAAGATATGATATAGAAGGAAAGCCTTGGAGTTTGTATAGATGAGCCAGTAAGGAACCTTAGGGGGTTTTTATTTGAGAGGATCTAGGAGTAACTTTAGGGTATTACTATTGTAAATCAAACAGCTTGAGGCGGTCTTTGCTTTGCCCAACGTTCTTTTAAATGACAGTTTGATTTTTGAGGTTGGTCTATTAAAGGAAAACACCTTTTGGTGGCTACTTTGTCTAGAAAATTGGGGTGCATGAGCAGCTGAATCCGAAGAGCCCTCATAGGAACCTGACTTGTGTCGATCAATGCAAAGTTGACATGTAAGCAGGGATCGAGGCATTTAATGCAAGGTAGTGGGCAATTTAAAGAATATTCACTTCTTAAAAACCTTCAAGCCAAGTGTCCATGGCCAAGGGTTTTAGAAGTGAAAGACAAGATTTGGGTCTAAAATAATGGTTTGGGCCGAGACGAGTTGACCCTAGGACCACGATTCTTGGCCCAATAAATATCCTTCGGGCTAGTGGGTTTTGGCCTACAAATAGGATCAGTTCGACCGAGTCCTCGTGGTAGTAGGAATGTGAAACGATTAAGTATAAGGGCAACTCAGTCAAGTCCTACATGGATTGAAATTGCTAAGGATTAGAATAAGCCTTGGATAAATATGGATTATCGCTGGGATCAGAATGCCTAGGTGAGCAAACAGAGATAAATGAATCTCATAAGACCATCTCCAACTCTTGGGGATAAAGTTTAAAAATTTAAGCCAGAAAAATTTTAAGCCATAAGCCAGAAACTGTTTTTCTTCTCCAACCCTTGTGGCTTAAAATTTTAGCCTGTGATGATTAAATAAGGATTTTAGCCTAACTTTTTGTTTTCAGTAACTCTTTTTAAAATTAAATTTGTGTAGATTATCTTAATTTATTTTTATGAACATTTTAGTCTAGAAATATTTAAATTCCGATAAGTAATTAAAAATCATACAAATATATAGGTATTTATAAAATTTTAACTTAAATTTGATTTAAATTATTTTAGACGTTAGATTTAATTTTGGGCCGTCAAATATTTTTTTTTTTTTTTTACTATTAGATTTGATGTTATTTGATCATAGCCGTTAGATTATAAGTAAAAAAAAAATGTTAGAAATATGACAATTTGGTGGGTCCAAAATAATTTTTTTAGAGGGTGGGGTGGGGTGGGGTTTTAAAGCTTATATTTTAAGTTTTATCCCATGGGTTGGAGATGGTCTAATGGGACTATGTGCAGAGTCCTTGTAAGAATCGAAGAGGCAAAGACTGAATGAAGATAATGTTTTAGCTGAGAAGGGATAAAGGAAGATCCAAGCAAATGCTAAGCAAACACAGTCCCATTGGAACTCTAACATAGCAGGCTTGTTTACCATGGAAGCGTTGCCTATAAATAGAAGAGACTTTGCAACATTGAAAGCCACTTCAACTCAACAAACAACTCAAATGCTCTACGCGAAAACTCTCGCTCTACATGAAACCCTTCTCACACTTTTTTAGAAAAAACACTATCTTAACCCTCCTAGTAACATATCTTTAGTTTGGACTAACAGTACTGTGTTGACAATCGGTGGCATCTTCAGTTTGGACTAACAAACACTGCTTCTAATTGGTTGGTTATCTATCCAAGTCTCGGCCGGTGTAGATTTTTTAACTTATTCACCAAAAGAGGTCACTTCATTAGCTTCTCAGCGACGTGGAGTTTTCTATGATTGGTTACTCTCATGTGCATTTTGCAGTTCGGCATTCAGACATTCAAACCATGTTCACCATAAAAATGCATATCTTCTTTGAGTACTTGTGTCCCAATAGCTTGATATCGATTCGGCACACCTATATTCTCACGAATATTGTCTAGGCAGCTAAACCTGGCACAGGAGATCCTAAATTTTGCAGTGATCTAGGCAACCTTGTCTTTTGGTTCTATAATCCAACACTGAGACGTGTTCCTTCATCGGCCATAATCGCTTGAGTACAGAAGTTAACAACGCATTCGACATCACCATTACTATACCTATTCTACTCACCCGACCGAGCTCAGTTGCTAAATGGCACACGTGCATTCACGAGGATGTAGTTAGCTCATAATTACTTGGTCTGCGCCCCACATAGGCTTTATAATTTTTAAGGTCATCAATTTTTCAATACAATTATATGTATTTTTAAATATAAGCACACACTTATTTATGCTATAAATTTGATTAAAATATTAAAAAAACCTAGTCCCCTACTCATTGCCCGACTAGTTGATATGTTCAATTTTTTCTTATTTAATGAATTGAGTCTTATACAAAGGTCTTATCTTAATTCCATTGTATTATGTATGCTAACAAGAATTTCTTCGGCCCTATTTAGAATTGTAATATGCAACATTTGAGAGTGTATATCAGCCCTAGAAATAAAATATGTGGCAAAAGCATGCGAATAAGTTTTCTGCATTAGTTTCCTCTAAGGGTTTTAGCGCAACTGAGAGTCATGGCATTAATTGGACCACACGACACATCTTATGGCTACATATTAATGTGCGTAGGATACTCTCCCATCAACCAATACAGTTTCGACGCTTAGAGCTTGTTTGAAATTGCATTTAAAATGACTAAAACCGCTTTTAAATAAAATACTTTTGAGTTCTAAAAGCACTTGAAGCGTTTTCTAAAAAAAACACACTAGTTATATGCTTCTTTCAAGAAGCACTTCAAGTGTTTTTTCCTGGATTTTTACTAAGGATTGGTCAAAAACATTTTCATCAAAAACGCTTTCAGTAATCTTAAAAGTACTTCCAAACGAGCTCATAGACTTCTCTAGCTCTTGTCAAAAGATGGTGTCAAGAACCCAAACAATAAGGCATTCAACAATCAACATTCACGTAAAAATACTTCATAAACCGGTATACATGACATCCGCCCGAGTTTAGGTGAACCAGTTCCCAGGTCGTACCATCAGCTACCAAACATTTGCAGATCTTCTGACGACCCGAGCCAATGACAGTAACATCAAAGGCAACTACAAAAATTGTACATTGAAATAGTAAACACATGCTAGCATACTTAACAACACTAATCAAACTTGATTACAACAATCACACAATGATCCTACTAGTCTCATTGCTTCCACCAATTGTTCCGTTCTTGACACTGCTGCGCTGAAACTGCTTTAAAATGGTATGACAGTAACGAACAAAGCAGTAGCAGCCTCCCAATGCAGCTCAATATGTACAGATTTATAACAGCAAGCACCGCAGCGGGAAATATCAAGAATGTTATTTTCCACGGAACATTTTAAGTTATGCATCAACGGCTTGCGAGACTGATTTTGTAGGGTTTGAATCCCCTCTTCCACTGGGTTTGGATCTAGCTTTGATGGGCTTCTGAGAACTGGGCGTCCCTTTGACATTAGATCTTATAGGATGTCTGGAAGTTTGGGATCCATTGCTTCCCCCTGACCAAGGAAATTGATAATGAAATAAATATTTAGCAGCACAACTAAAGGAGTAAAAGGTAGAAAATAAACATCATAATGCAGTTCCAATCCACTGTTTAAGACGAGTCACTTGGGGAAATGAAATCAAGGATACAGCACCTGCTTATTCTAGAAACAGATACGCCTATCTAAAGGCTTGTTCATTTTTAGGGGAGCTTATATATATATATATATATAGAGAGAGAGAGAGAGAGAGAGAGAGAGAGAGAATCACCGCTATTAGGCAAAGACAGCCGCTTCTTTGCCTGTTTATCTGACTCAGTGGATCTCTCTTTTGGATTACTATGGGATCTTGAAGTAATAGCAGGTTTGGAGTTTCCTTGTTCAGCTGCATCATCCAAATATGGCTTCGACTTTTGCTTTCCAAGTTGGGTAGTATTGGATGCCTCAAGCATTCCAGATGACTTACTAGGTGAAGAATCACAGCCATCAGAATGAAAGGGACCTGCTTTTTGAATTGAAAGATTTGATTGAATATTTGAATTCTTGCCAGCAGATTTTAACTGGGTTATACTGCCGTTCTTATCTTCAGCTGATTCATTCTCATGTACCATAACTCCATCCCTGAGATTAATATCTAGAAAGCGGTTCTCCCAGGGACGGACAGCCATCCATCTTTCTAACCAGTTCCAACCCCAGCTGCTTTTATCTGGTTCGAACCCCGAGGGAGCTAGCAGCTGTCTTGATCCAGCTTGCCACTGCACAAAAGCAAAATCTTATGTGTAAGCTTGTGGAGGTGAATTCAATGCTTCTAACAATTTCAAACCAGGGAAAAAACTAACGACCCATTGTAGGTCAATATAAAAGATTGATGCAGCTAAGCTGGATAATGTGTGCGCAAAACTACACACACGCTACAATTCTGCAACCTGAAAGAAAAAGATATCAATCACATTAACATCCAAGAGTCCAACAAATGTTATGACTTTTATGTTTTCCCTTACAATTTTAATAGGGTACTGTTATTGTGGCACTCCTCCAATTGCTTTTTCTCTCTCTTGCATTGTTACATGTTTTGGAGTGCAGAATGACTTTTGGAGAGCAAATTACAGCTCCTTTTCAATAAATGGGGTCAGATTTCTCTTCACACATCCAAGTATCCAGAAAGTCTAGGATATGCCTTTTGAAATATTTTTTATTCATATGTTATTATGTTAATAAGTAACAGTGGTAAAGTATCTGATTAATGAAATTCAGTTGGCTGAGTAACTGAGAGACCAATCAGACAAGGTTGCTTAACTTCAAACAAATTCTATTAGTCGAAACTTCTGTTTGAAACAAAAGACCTAGCAGAGTGATATATTTATCATACTAGCTAAATATCATATTAAAGCTCAGAATCCTGAACTGAAACCACTATTTTCCCACTCCAGATGATCATGTTTCGACATTTATGCTTCTCCTCCTTTCAAGTTGTGTCTTTCCTTTTAGGGCAATTCACAATCAAATTCAGGCCCAAAAAATAAAAATAACAAAAATGCTACCACGAAGAAATCAACAGAGTGGTTATCATGTGTCACCTGATGAGCAAGAGCATATGCCATAGCTCTCTCACGCTTAGCTGCAGCCTCCTGCCTCTTCAACAACTTGGCTTGAATTTCTTGAACAGATCCTACACTGTCACACCACCCTTCCTGCACCACAGTCAAGAAGAAGCTGTCAACATTCCTTCATTCCAAGGGAAACAAGAATGGAAGAGGTTAATAGAGATGTACATCTATAAGAGCTTATGTCAAACATAATGGTAATTGACAAGTTAGTAAGTCATTAATATGCAATACATGCACATTGGATCCCGTTTCTGTAATTACAGAAGAATTAGAAACTTGATGAATACAACATCAGCAGATTCAATTGCCTACTCATGCAACTAACTTTATTAACCTTATTTCCATTGTCATTAGGAATAGAGAACACTGGAAAGAAATACTAGGCTTGGTTTCAATTAGAATGTGGGTTAACTAAACTTCAGCGTCTCACAGAGCACATACCACGAGATTGTCAAGAATGCCTACACACCTATGTTATACACAGGCAAAGGGCCAATAATCTTATTTGGTTTCCTGAATGACAGATTTTGTTTGGTTTCCTTCATTGTGGGAATTTTATTCATTTGTAGTTTCCTTTTAGGTTTGACTTGCTACATTTGAGTATGGCTTGGCCTCTATAAGTAGGCCAAGATTGATGCCATCAAATTAAAATTATATTGGTCCCCTAAATATGACTGCATGAAATCCTTTTATTGGTTTGTGGTACCACACCTAAACAATTGCATGTTAGCACTGTTCTATTTAAGACTTTCTCTTCCCATGGACAAGCCTTGATGAACTAAGGTCCTGTTCCCTTCTTTCTCCTCTCCTCCACCTCTATTCGTTTCCCTCTCTTTTTTTAATCTCCCCAATTTTCCCATTAGTCCTACATAAATATCATTTTAACACTTGTCACTTCTCTATCATCAAACCTGATATGCTAAGGGACTGTTTGAAATCCATTTCGCTTTAATTTTAGTTTTCAGTTTTGCATTTGATAAAGGGGAAATACATGGGACAAATGAGGGATATAGAGCGATTGAGGAAGGATGACACGAGAGATTTAGAACAAATGTACAAGCAAGGGTAAACCAAATGAAAAACAATTTCAAGTTATTTCACTTTCAAGAATTTGTTTTCATTCACTCTTTATTTCTTCCCCACTCTCCCATCACCCTTCTTCATCTCACCTTTCGCCCATATACTTTCATCATATCCCAAATACAAAAAGTGAAAACTAAAAACTTAAATCTAAATGGTTATCAAACGAGCCCTAAGTGAACAAGCCACACTAAAACAAACCACAGAGACTATAAGGTTAAACAGAACACTGACAGCCAGATTGCTCAAGATCCTAATCACCTGCGCCTACCCTGTGTTGTCCCCTACCTTTACTTGCATAGAATATTTTTGGGATCTTAGCTGGATCTTATTATTATTATTATACTAATTTGTTCTTTTGTTACTTTTATTGGACACAAGATATCAATACATTACAACAGAAAAGAGTCCATCACAAAAGGAGAATGTACAGCCGCAGTTATCATGACAAATCTGAACTGCTAAAAAATGTTAGCTAACAACTGCCCTCCTATCTAGATGAATATTGGACAGAGGTACACCACTGAAGTCGAAAGTTGAAACTGATGACCACATAGAACCAAAACCTAGCCCTGCCCCATTATCTCCCTCTAAATGCATTGAGATTCACTTATCACCTACAGCTTCTTCTGCGTTTATTTTGTGAGCCATAGCTGTCTCTTTTTCCAGCCCTTAAGACAGTTACAGGGTTGCCTTCTACTAATTTTTTGAGCATCTCTACTCCCAGGTTTTAATTCCACCTAAAACGCAAGAGCTAAACCCTAAATGCTAAACTTCAAAACAAAGATTCTACAAGAACCCTTACGCATAAGCTACTAAATCCTATAAGAGTAAACCAAAGCAATCCCTAATTAAACTTAGAAAGAAAAATGTTAATTGTTTCAGGGGGTGAAATAAAGTTGGAAAAGAAGCTGAACGCATTAAAGGAATTGGACTCCCAATTGGAAGTTTTCAATAATTTCCTATCAAATTAAATACCAGAAAAATGGGAAAGCATGAAAACAACAACTCCCATCTACACACAGTATACTGTTTTCGTAATTAAAGTAGACACGGTATCTGCTCTTGCTTACTTCTATTTCTCGAACCCGAACCTCATTTGCAAGTTGTTGCTGAAGTCTTTGTTGAACCGTTTGACCTTCTAATGCCAGGCGAACATGCCTTGCTCGCACTCGAGCCTGAACTCTAACTAAAGCTTGCATACAGCGAAGAGTTATTGCAGCTTGTTTTCTCACAGCATGGCCTCTGACAAGGGCTTGAAGTCTCACCAATCCTTTTAAAGCTCGAAGAGCTCTTCTAGCCTGAAATATGTCACCAAAAGATTATAATGTGATCACAAAAAATGCTGAAAGGTCAATAAATCAAACTATATGGAGAAACACAAATTGCAGCTGCTGTCATTAAAGTACAAACTATTGAAGACGATGTGCCAGATTCAATGAAGATTGCAGAACACAAACCCTTATGCAAAAAGCTTTCTGAAACAATAAACATTAGCACTTTTCCTCTTCGACTACAGGGCTTGATAACATGTCAGTCCAACTATCCAAGCCACAAAAATAAACCAACTCTGACTAAACAAATACATTCTAGGCTTGTTTTCAGAAAAAAAATAAAAATACAAAATAAAAAAATAAAAAACTTATGAAACAATCAAACAGTACAAAATGGCAAGTTTGCTAAACCACAAAATGAAAAATGTTAAAGAGTATAAATTCAACTAGCCACCTCTACATGCTTAATGATGACCTGACTTTTGTAGTTTAAGACTTGGTACTCGCACATTTTATTTTGTCACAAAATAACTTGATAAACTGCCAAACTGAATCTTTCTCTATGCTTGAGAAATAGGCTTTGTTATGCAAACCAAGGTCGCTGCCATTTTATTGGAGCTCATTTAGAAAGCTAAGCAGTATCATAATCTACTTTTCCTTGTGGTTACTGCAATGCTAATGGGTGCTATGTTCAGCAAATTTTTGTAGTTAAGGTAGTGTTTAGTTTATTGCGGTTAAATTCTAAGGAGCAGTTTAGGATACACATATGATTGCAGAAACTAATACATCATATAGAATTTTGGAATTTTATACTCCAGTAATATTATGCTATGTAAGTCCAACTTCTAATTACATTTTTTCCTTATCTATAATTGTGAGCATGTGCGCATAGCAAATCCTTCGTTATTTGTATTAATTAACACTTACTACTGTATCAATTTTTTGAAAGAAAAACAAAACCTATACTACTATATATAATCACTAAAGTAAAAAGAGACTTTTTGAAAGAAGAACCTGATCTAAATGCATTTGAAAATGTCATACTTGAAGTAAGCAATACAAGCATCATTATAAGTGCTCAATGAATGCAAATACGACTGTAAAACTTAATACCAGAAAGCCACGAAAGGTTGTTTGAATGCGTGTGGCAGCCCATTCTTCTCTCACATTCTGCTCACTTTGTGCATTGTGTATTTGAAGTGAACCAGATGAAGAATCCACAGCATCTGTGTTTAGTTGAGTACTGGCATCTCCAACTGGCGGAGCAACATCTGCATCAAACTCACATTTAAGTCTATTTGCATCAAACTCAATGGAATTCTTCCTCCTGTGCCGAAACCTGTAACCAGCTGTTTTCTACAATGATTGAAAACAAGGAAATAAGTCAGTCAGACTGGTACTTTTGAATAACGTAAGAATATCCCAGAAGAATCCAACTAAGATGGAGAAAAAATATTACTGAAGTGTTAACCCAACCTTGCAAGCAATTGGATGGGGAACAAGAAAGAAGAGGAAAAGCAGTAGGCAACAAGATATATAAGATTAGTTTTGAAAAGTTATGATACCCACGTTGTCATCTTTTTCAGAAGACTGAGACTTTTCTGATTTCTTTAATAATGCCTTAATCCATTTTCCAGACACTCCCATGTCGCCAGTCACTTTAGCTCAACCAAATGAAGACCTGCTTAGGGAAAGTTTTTGACAGTTAAGATGTAAGAAGACTTATTATTTATAATAATATTGCTTAATTTCCAAAAAGGATGCTTCCCGATCTCTCACCTAACAGTATAAATAAGGAACTATTTCTACAAGAATGGTCACTTCCGTAAACCGGAGCACCAGCCCAAAATTCCAGGCAACGTACTCATGTCATGGACACTTCAAAAGACAAAATACCGACCAAAGCATTATAAATATGAATCTGAAGTTTCAAAAAATGCAGAGCCAAGCAATTGGACATATGAAGCGAATCAAACTGGAACACAACAGTGATTTTTTATCACAGGCAATAATCATACAAATTCTAGAATCTAAACCATATATGCAATGTCAATTGTCCTTAGACCCATATGCAAGCAATATTACTTCATAAGTTCATAGCAAAACTTGATATAACTAAACAAAGTTTCACCATGGAAAGAGACCCTGCAACTTCCACAGCCAAGATTCCGAGACTGAATACTAGTCAAATTGTATGAACACCTAAACTTTCTAAACAAAATTTCTTAGCAATCAAGTCCCACACGGATAAAAGATCTCAATGGAGTTTTAAGTAAAACCCAAGAAGCTAAAAAACACTTACGATTGATAATACAGTACCACAATTGCATAAAACCTTACAAACCGACCAGATAGCCAAGCATTTTCATCAAATTCACAACTTTATAGCAAACCAATTGATAATACAATACCCCCATTGCATAAAGCGTTTACAAACCCCAATTGGGATCAACCAAATCCATCTTCAATAGTTACCAAGCAACCCCACTAAAGCCCAAATCCACTCCTCCTATTCAAAATGACCGAAATTCGCAATTTTCGAACAATTCAGACTGAAGCCTCATTCAAAGAACTCCCAAAAAATGTAGTAGTACTGATAAAAGAACAAAAATAGAAAGAAATGAGCAATGAAACAAAAGAGTGAGCAATGAAACGATTCACAGATCCACCCATCACCAACACAAGATACCCAATTCACCGCGATGGCGGAAAATTGGACACAAACAAACACAGAGAGAGGCAGTAAAAGGAGAGAAAGTATGCTGAGAAATTACAAAGAAAAGAGGGAGATACCTTGATCCACCAATCAATGGGGTCAAATTAGTCAAAACCTCAGTCAATTTCCCTCTCTCCCTTTCAATTTCTGCACAGCCACCTGAAGAATTCAACTTTTGGAATTTGGAATTTGGAGCTTCATTCAAAAGCGAATTTTGCAGTTTGCGATAAATGTGAAACAAAAGGCCGGCAGTGGGAGCGAGGACCGGTCTCGGCTAATGTGCACCGGGGAGGCCTGTTACTACTTTTTCCTTGATACGGCGTCGTTACGAGGGTCGGGTCCTTGTCGTCCATGGGCCAGAGAGTGACCGTGTGAGTGACAGAGTAAATCACGGGACGCATGCCAACCACCGAATCTAATGAAAAGCTGAGACCACGTTTCTCGGTTAGGTGGGGCATTTTACCCCTGCGCACGCTAGCATATGCACGGCCTCAGGTGAAATTTGGGAGCATTTTGCTCACCACTTTAACTCAAAAGTCAAGATGTATATTCACTAGTCACTCTCCTGAGGTAAAACAACATTTTATAATTATATAAAGATTGTCAAAGTGGATCGTGAGAGCATATCCAAAGAGTAACACCATCCATTCTCCAATTAATAGGTCAATTGGGGTCGAATTGCCTTTGGTCCCAAGAAACCCGTCCGCAAAAGAAGAGGCAATTGTTGCAAAGGCAGCAGTTTGTTGGGCTACCCTTTTAACTGAAGCCCGGGCTTGCGTCCATTGGATTGACCGATGTCATCATGGAAGTTAGCCGAAGACAACCACATCGTACCCACACAGAGCCTAACGGCTCTTTTTCCTTTCAATCCAAGCCATTGGATTTCCGACAGTCCATTCATCTAGACCATTAGTTTTCCAACAATAAAAAAAATGGTCCTTTCATCTGCTACTGCCACGTGGCAAGATCCTGGACATTCAACAGTAATAATTTTGAAAATCAATGACTAGGATTATTCTAATGGTAAAAAATACCAAAAAATATTCAAATTTTTTTTCTATAAATACCCAACCATGTTCTTCATTCTCTACACCACAACTCAATATTTATATTTATTTTTATTACAATCTCCTATAATTGTTTTCTACCTCCCAAATCATTTTGTTACCAAGAAAAGGAATGAGAAGTCAAATTGGTCGATTGGGGAAAATGCTGCTTAGGCTTGGGTGCTTCTTATTCATGTGGAATAAGATTCATGCACAATTTGTCAAGCAAATTCAAGGCACACATCCTGAAGTGAGCAATCCATGTCATGTAGATACAGAATTCTGCATAAAGATTTGAAAGCTTGGCAAGAAGTGCTTGCAAAATGAAATTGGTACCAAGTGGAATCTCCTGTAATTTAAAATTCGATGTATGCTTGACTGACTAGTCAGCATCACCAATCAACTAAAATCAGATTTGTTAGTTTACCAAAATCAAGAATAAACAATTATACTTTGTTTACTAACACAACCTTAGTTAACAAAGGTCCAGTTCATTGCACTTTAAAACTTTATCAAATTTAGTTGAAAGCACATATCTATTTGCACACCCTAGAGTCAATGAGTTACATGCAAATTAACAAGATATGTGCACAAGAATAACAAGAATCAACACAAGGAGTTTTTGGCTGGAAAAACTCACCCTTGGATTAAAAAACCAGGGACTCACCACTGAGTCCAATCGACTAGTGTAAACAAGATTCATACAAAGTATCCACACAAGCTCAATTCCTAGATCTTAATCTACGAAGCAACTTATACCTTTGTGCAACATTGCTTACACGAGATGGACTCATTCGGTCTTCACGAAGTGGCAGGTCCTCTTGAGCTCATCACCTTGTGGCACCATGAACCAACACAACCAATGCAAATGATATGACAATGATGATTATGTGAAATCTGGATTCAATGATTAGTCAGTTTCTCCAGTCAGACATTTGAAGGAAGAAACTGATGAGAATCTAAAATCAGGTGTATATAAGGATTTGAAACTTAATGCAAGACCATGAAAACAATGCAAACCTACTCCCTAATGATTGGTGTTTAATGCATGAAGAAGGCAGTTGGGGTTTCATAAATAGAGAAGAGGCAAAATCAAAGCTTTTAAGACAATCTCTCACTCTAAAATAAATCCTAAACCCATGGAGACAAACTGAAACCCTAGTGCAAAGATATACCAAAGGAAATCTGATTTCCATCAACCAACTTGTGCAAATGACATTTATCAGCTGCAAAAAAGATCTAGGCAGATCAATGGCCAGAAATTAACCACCAGCAAAAAGGTGTCAGTCAGCCCATATGGGCTGTCTTAATTTGTGTGCCCAGACAGCTGGAAATCAGCACGCAAAATTGATTAGAAAATCAAACTAGATAGAATGCAATAGGAATACATACATGAAATGCACAAGCATAAACAAACCTTTTAAGGTGAAATGTGCCACATCCTGAACATTTACTCCAGTAATAATAGTTTATAATCAGAGTATAACTGAAAACTAAATTGAGCATGTGTGTAGTTCAATTACAATATTTGACAAGGAAAGCCAAACATAAAAGTCTTGACTTTCCACAAAAGCAGATGGAATTTATGAAGATGCTCTTAAGAAGGCAAGGCAAGAGCAAGGGCAATGGAGTTGCCCTTAGTTTTCAATTTAAATCGTAATTGCTTTAGTGCAAGTCCACCTGTTTGGGAAAAGAAAGGCCAAGGGCAAATGAGATTACTATTCACATATATGTTTTTTATTTTTTTCTTTATGTTTTCTTGGCCTTATCCTCCACATGTCATTATTTCTCAAATAAAGTCTAATTCCAATCAATTATTTCAAATATAAGGAAAAAGCATAGTATTACAACAAACATAATTAATTTTAACATAGGAGATAAAACAGTGTGGCTCAGTCTGTCTTTCCTTGGAGTGTATGGACTTCCTCATCTTCCACGGAGAATCTTCTTCCCATGACGTGATTTTTTTTCTTTTTTCCAAAAACATTTGGAATTAGGATACTCATCGTTGAGGTGTCAAGATGTGATCTCATGATCCTTCTCCTTTTGCCTTTCTTGCCTATTTAACTCTCTTTCTTTCACCTTTGGTTCATTTCTAGCCTTGTTTTGCTCATATGTTAACACGTCTCGTTCCATATTCAATGCATATTGGCGAGCCAATTCGTCAACTAATTTGGAATAATCATTATTTGAAGAACTCCCTCTTTCAGCTTTTTCCTTAGCACCCCTCTTACTAATAGGCCTTGAGGTTTCTTTAGTTTATATGATAGATTGAGTTAGGGTCTCCAATGGCAACTCTTCAATAGTTGATTCGTGCAAAGGAGTTGTTCAACACAACTTGTGGACCACTTGGCAAAACTTTGTAGTATGCTTCACAATGTTCCAACTTTTGTGCCTTGTGAATGATTTTTGGTTGGCAACATTGAACCACATGTGTACTTGTAGTTGCTGAAAAACTAAATGTGAAACAAATAATCAAATTATTACTTTTAATTAACTAAATTACATTTTGACATGACTTAATATTAAAATGTTATTAACTATTGGCTAGATTATTGCCACTTCGATAATTTCCTTCTGACTTTGCAAGCACTTTTTGCTAAGCTTTCAAATCTTTATGCAGATGTTTGTACCTACTTGACATAGATTGCTCACTCCAGATGTGCCTTGAATCTTCTTGACAAATCCACGTATGTTGCACCCTCATCTCATTTCCAATGATCAGGTCATGAGTAAGACGCATCCAAGCCCGAAGCAAAGCAACATCTTCCTTAATTGACCAATTTGAAATCTCATTCATTTTTCTTTGTTAAAAAAGAAAAAGAAAAAAAAAAGGGGACTTGGGAGTTAGAAACAAAGAGATTGTAGTAAAAACAAATATTAAGTTGTGGTGTGGAGTATGAAGAATATGGTTGGGTATTTATAGAAAAAAAAAAATAGGTACTTTTAGGGATTTTTTTATATTTTTTTTGTATTTTGTTTTTAATTTTTTACCGCTAGAATAATCATGGCCATTGATTTTCAAAATTATTGTCGTTGGATGCCCAAGATCTCACCATATGGTAGCTGCAGAAAAAGTTGCAATTTTTTTTATCGTTGGAAATCCAACGGTTTGCAACACGTGTGGACATCCTTTAGGCTATGTCAACTACAAGTGGGCACTAGTCTGTCATTATGTTGACGACCATGCTGACGTCAACAAATTCAAGGAGTGCAAGCCCCGACTTCAATTGTAAGGGCATCCCAATAAACTGCTGCCGTTGCTCCAATAGCCCTCCATTTTTTGTATCGGTGGATCACCTTTTTTGGAGCTAAGGGCAATTCAACCAAATTATCCTATCAATTAGTCTACAAGTGAACTTTCTCTAATGGGAGACATATGGTCTAGCCAAATTCATAATCTTGCCCTCAAAATTGAAAAAACTACTTTAAACCCAACATAATTTGCCTAGTCAAATTGAAGCCCAAACATTTGCACAGCCAAACTAACCCAATAAAAAATATTGGGCAGTGTGGGACCCACTTAAAATTTGAAATTCTAGCCTATCCATTCATTGCTAGAACCAAAGAAATATTGGCAAACAATATCATCATTTCTTAGGGGCTAGATTTTGCTTGTAGCCTCCAATTCTTGCCCAAGACATTAGATATGTTTTAACTAAGCAAAGCATGCCAAACAACTTACTAAAATTTCTGGAAAAAGCAAAAAAAAACTTATCCAAGTAAAAACCCAATTGAAATCAACCACAAGTACATTATGTAAGAATCCCAAATGTTCTTCAAACCAAAGCAATTCATTCGTCAAAGAAGCCCAAAGTTAGCCAAGCGATGCGCAACCCCATTTGCTTTCCTATGGACAAAAAAAATCATCGTCGTATTAAAACTATGAAAAAAAAAAACACCTTGGAATCCTCAATAAATCCCTCCCATAAGTGAATAATCAGATTCTTCCTTTTGAATGACTCTCAATACTTTAAATGCATACCTTTCAAGCTGCACTTGAGTGTACCTAGTTGAGCTATGAAGCTCATGTGAGTAACAGTACTACAACATATGTGATACAAAAGTCAATGGATCTCATTTATAAACGTTTCACTATCCTTTTCATATATAAAAGAATCCTTACTCACAAATCACGATTGAATCCACACAACATTCAATCATCTCTTTCATATATAAGATAATAACAGCCTAGTAGGGTAGCACTAATCACAAAGTTCCGCATTCCAAATGCACTTATAGTAGAATTGATACACAACATAGGAAGTAGAATTCCAGACCCACTTCATGGAATTCATAGGAAGAACAGTTCCAGGCGCACTTAATGGAACCAAACATAAGGTAGG